TTGTGTCCACCTTGTCTCCCTTCTGCCTTCCTTTGTCTCCGGTCTGTTTCCCTTCTTGTTGGTCAGTGTGTCCTTCTTGTTGGTCAGTGTGTCCGTCTTGTCTCCCTCTGTTTCCTTGTTGTCTCCCTTCTTGTTGGTCATTGTGTCTGTCTTGTCTCCCTTTTTTCCTTTCGTCTGCCTTCTTGTCTCCCTTCATTGTGTCCGCCTTGTCTCCCTTCTTGTCTCCCTTTGTCTCCAGTCTTGTTTCACTTCTTGTTGGTCACTGTGTCCGTCTTGTCTCCCTTCTGTTCCCTTCTTGTCTCCCTTCTTGTTGGTCATTGTGTCCGCCTTGTCTTCCTTCTTGTCTCCCTTTGTCTCCCTTCTTGTTCGTCATTGTGTCCGTCTTGTCTCCCTTCTTTTGCCTTTTGTCTCCCTTCTTGTTGGTCATTGCGTCTTGTCTCCCTTCTGTTTCCTTTTGTCCCCCTTCTTGTTGGTCATTGTGTCCGCCTTGTCTCTCTTTCTGTATCCTTTTGTCTCCCTTCTTGTCTTCCTTCTTGTTGGTCACTGTGTCCACCTTGTCTCCCTTCTTGTTGATGTCTCAAAAAGTGGACTTGGGAATGCTTCGTTGTTGTCTAACCTGTTTGGGGTCTACGGTGGTGTAATTCTTTTGAGGCCCCACCTCCCGGAAGTAGCTGCAGGGGGGTGGGGTAATATAAGTATAATTACAGGTTCTGAGCTCGGCCTAGCCCTCTCATTCATCGTTTCAATGACCCTGGCCAGCTTGCTTATCCCAAAATGAAGGCAAGGCGCCATGTGCATGTCATTTGTCTCGAAGGGGCGCCGTGGGTATGATGGTTGTGTCGCGTTCCTGAGGAACAAATCTGAAACTCCAGATTTGGATCATGTGTCTTGCACCCATCTGCTGTGCCCGTTGAAGAATCAAAACCTCGTTGGCTCTCCAAGGCTCAAGATTAAACCCGCTGTGTACACATTCACAGCTCGGCCAAGCAAACAGCAAAGGAACACATATGCCACAAGCCTGCACATCAAATCTCTCATCTTCGGAACGCACAGGGCAAGCAGGCCAGTGAGAAACAAACAAAATGGGTGGGGCTGTGTAATGTCCCACAAATTTGTTGCAGCCTGCCGCCGCCATCCGCCGCCGCCCCTACTCCTTCTCTACTCCTCTCCCTTCATCGCTACTCCACTCCTGCGGCTGCTTCTGCTTCGTCCTGCTCCTCCTAGCTGCTCCTCCTCCTCCCGCTGCTGCTTGGTGCTGTCACTTCCACTCCCCACTGCTAGGCTGGCATGTCTGCCGGTTCTTCCGTAGGACAAACCAACAACACAATGGAAAGAGAGACCCCAATGTATGGTTTGAAGTCTGCTTTGGGACTTCGAGTTCCTAATTAGTTGCAACTGGTTCTGTGGCCCCGGCCGGATGTCAGCCCGGAGGCTTTCCCAAGCAGATGTGCCAAGGTCGATAAACACGAGGGTCCTCAGTCTGGTCCGATGCTTAAGTGAAGATAGCAGCTCGAACAGCTTTACAGTGCTACAAAATCGCGCGACGTCAAACCTCGAATATGTCGCAACGAGAAGAGTGTTGTCGCTCACGTGGGTTATGAGCCCAACGCGGTTGTAGGAAGTCCACCAATGTCCACCACAGGATATTTTCCTATGTTGTGGGTCCCCATGGATGAAGAAAGGGTTGGTCTGCTGTGGTGCCTCTAGGAAGTCCAGAAGTACCTCAGAATCCAATTCACGGTGGCCAGAGCGGGCTACCTCACTTCCTCCTTCCTCTCAGGATGGTTGTTTGCGGAGCTGGAGCCACCTTGGAGGGCAACAGATCGCGCATGGAGAACGCACGGCCTGAAAGGGGAGAGGGGCTTCGAGAGGAACATGTTTAGTCAGGAGGATGTCAAAGACAACTTCAAGGACCTGACCCATGGGACTGTTTAGTCAGTTGCGATGTGTGGCATGTATACTGTACGGGCCTCAACACAAAGGAGAAGGCAACTTTGGGGCGATGCGGATGGACCCCTCTCAGGCCACAGGTTATGGAATGAGAATGAACCTGCATGCTGGAGAGGCATCAAGGGTTGCTGCCTTCACTCCTGGAGGGCATCAAAGGCAGTCAATAGTTCCCAACTTCAATGTGGACTTCGAGGAGCACTGCTACTTCGTGAGGTGGTGCAGGAATCCTCAACAACCAGTTCAACCATTGAGGACATCAGCGGTGCAGAACAGTGACATGTCGGTGGAGGACCTGGGGTTCCAATTGCCCATTATGCTCCTGGAGATCTTGGCCGCGTTCGTCCTGCTGAAAAGAGTAATTAATAAGCAGTGCTGGTGTTGATGGACATCCTCAACAAGGTCATCCTCCGGGTGCGGCTGTGGATCCTGCAGCTTCTGAATATGGAGCACTTCGAAACAGCTGCATGTTTGTGTACTTATGTGGTCGTGATATTGGAGATCTCAGTGATGTCAGGGTTTTTTCATGGTGATGAGCATAGGAAATTCCCGGATCTGGTCTTTCATTGAGGAATTCCAAAAGTTGGCGAGCGAGTCTGGGGAGTTCACCAAGGCTGTTGAGACCGCTGCCGGGCTCGAAGAGCAAAAGAAGGCTCATCGGAAAGCCGTGTCCAAAAAAATGCTGGCCCTGGACACTATGGCTATGATCCTGGACAGCCCCTGACTGGAGGAGTGGATCAAAGAAAATGAAAGCCATGTCACAATACTCTTCTTCTTCTTCTTCATGGGATCCGAGGCCGGCTGTTTTCAGCGGGGTCAAAAGTCAAAAGTGTATCCTTCGAGACCTTCAACTCCTGAGCCGAAGGAGAAAAAAAGAAGGAGGTTGAGACTTGGGAGGATATCCAAGAGATTGTGGAGCTCAAGGCCCAATCCATCAAGCAGGACACCAAGGAGTCTGCATCATCGGTGACAAAGTATGGGCCTTGAATTGTTCGAGATCCTGAAGGCCCAACAAGGGTGGAGAGGCTTGAGACTACACTACACCATACTACACCCAATAAATTCCGAAGAAGGAGGAGGTGAGGGCCGGTGAGGGCTGATGAGCCTCCAAGGAAGTCAGCTAAAACGAGGTGAGGGCGCTTCATCTCGGCGGCGGATGCGGGAGGGTATTGGTGGACTATGGTCCGGAACCCACGGAGTCAATGGGAGCAATGGAAGCTCTGAATCGTCCAGCTGAAGGAGGACAAATTTCCACATCGGAGATTCTCTCGTCCGGAGGTGATTTGGTCTGCATGGTGTAGACCCACTCCACCTCAAGGAAGAAGCTCTTCGAGACGAAAAAGGTTCCTATCCTTCATGATCATTTTTATGGACGCATGGAACTGCGACGTTCCCATGGTGTGCTTCAACGAATAATTACGATTATCCTGTCAAAGCTTTTTGTGCTACCTTGATGTGGAGTCCTTTGGCACTTTTTGCTTTGGCTTTTGGGAGGGATCTGGAGTAATGAGTTTCAATGAAAATGCCTTTCCATTACCGGCCGCTTCTGCAGTGGTTTGGCCTTACCTCCATGGGAGCGAATGGCTCTTTCGATGGTGGGGCGGAAGACCGACTTAGAGGAAGGGTTCGATATTGCCTTCATCGTCATGGAAATTTAAGGACCGGATAACCCCACATATGAATCTTTACGAATCTTAAGTTTCAAAAGCACAAATACAACATGGCCTTGTCAGGAATTATTATATCAGAATTACACAACAGAGGGGTGGGAGAGAGGTGTGGGAGAGTAATGTGCACGGCGGATGTACGAGGTATTGCGCACACATGTGTGTACAGCCACAACTAGCCGAAGTAAAACCCCATAGCGCTGCCGACCAACCGCCGACAACGCAACAGCCAGAGCCTCTAACGGAGCATGGAGGTTCACAAAGTGCTGCGCCTGCCACAAATTCTGCACGTCAAGAAACAAGTGAATACTCTAATCACAACGCAGGGACGGACCGGCGACCACCAACGCAACATCCAGAGCCTCTAACGGAGCATGGAGGTTCACAAAGTGCTGCGCCTGCCACGAATTCTGCACATGGAGGTTCACAAAGTGCTGCCCCTGCCACGAATTCTGCACATGGAGGTTCACAAAGCCCTGCGCCTGCCACGAAATCTGCGCGTCAAGAAACAAGTGAATACTCTAATCACAATGGAGGGACGGACCGGCGACCACCGCAGACAACCGCAGACAACCCAACAGCCAGAGCCTCTAACGGAGCATGGAGGTTCACAAAGTGCTGCGCCTGCCAGGAATTCTGCACATGGAGGTTCACAAAGCGCTGCGCCTGCCACGACTTCTGCACATGGAGGTTCACAAAGTGCTGCGCCTGCCATGAATTCTGCACGTCAAGAAACAGGTGAATACTCCAATCACAATGGAGGGACAGACCGGCGACCACCGCCGACCACCGCAGACAACCCCAGACAACCGCAGACAACGCAACACCCACAGCCTCTAACGGAGCATGGAGGTTCACAAAGTGC